GTCTAATCCTATTTTATAAGAAAATACGAAAATTCTATGATTTCATACTTTTTATTCAAACAAGATGACCCCCATTAATTAAAGGTCCGCTGCAAAGATTTTAAAAGCATGGTAAAATGCACAGCGAATGAAGATTTCCATGACGTCACGTTAACGTCAAATAATATTGCGAAAGTTGGTGTTATATTGTGGTGACGTTTACAAAAATAATCCCTTAGAATGTGACATAAAGTAAAATGATAATGTGTATGTTATGTGGAATTGTTTTACATTTTGCCTCAATATTTTCAAACAGATCATTTTCTATGCATGAACGAAAACTCTAACATGGCGCAAGCTAATTTCTATAAATAACCATCCTAGTTACCCGTAACGTTCAATAAATAAGAAGTGTGTAAGGCATTTTTTATATTTTTTGCCAGCTTTGTATTTTATACAATATCAACTGTTGGTCAATACATTCATAACATCATATCCCTACCAATTAAAAGTAAACATGAGAACGTAAGCATAATGCCACTTTAATTATATGATGCAGTTTATCTCTTTGCCAACAGTGTTAAAAAAAGAATAATGTACATGAAAGCATACTACGCTTTTTTGTTTTCGAAAACTGACGAACTTATTTAAACAAAACATTTGTAGGTGTACAAGGAAGACTTCCTTGTAGCAAAATTTAAAAAAAACAAGTACGTTAAATAGGCTGATTCACATATTTTTCACCTTGTGAATATTCTATAACAATGAAGCTATATCAAAATTTTAAACAAAACAATACCAAAGCATAAACATGCTGGTTCCTCTCATCAATTTATAAATGTTAATATGTCATTCCACACATAGGCGATTATTTTAACCGGGAGACAATTTACTTTGGCCGCATACTAAATTAGATCTACATAACGTATCAAGTACCGCTAATAGGGCGCATGTGGCCAAGTGGCCAAGGTCGTTGACATAAAACCACTTGCCCCGCATTGATGTTGGTTCGAAAACCGACAGAAAATTTGGATTAGGAAGTAATCAAGCTAGCTTAAAAGGAAAGACAGGAGCATGTGCTTGAGTTCTTCCTCCGTAATGCTGGAAAGTCGTCATAGGACATTAACTGTGTCGATGCAACGCTAAACCCTATAAAACAACCATGTACCGCTATTTAAACAAACGAAACTTTTCAGTTATAGTTTCCACATATATATTATCATAAAGTAGTAAAGTGTGCAAAATTCTATAGCTACTAGAAACTGATTGCCGAAATGCAAAAAAAGCAAAAGAACGTTCAGGTAATTTGTCTTTGAGTAACCTTTCATGAATCATATTAGAACATCAAATAAAAAGCCATTAAAAAATAAAAAAAAATATATAATAAAAGCATTCGGGGCTATAATGGGCAAATAATATATTACATAAAATAGAATAGTAGTACAGTAAAAGGTATACATGAATTATGCCACATAAAAGCTTTTGTTTTTATTTCTCAAAGGTTTTTAATTGCACTGGCAGCAACCAAATTATGATACATTAGCAAAGCGAAAGGGTAAAAATGCAACATTATAGTTTTATAAAAAAATATCTCAATTCACGTAAAAACAACCTAAATGACATAGTGTCAGATGATATTTTACTGTTCATATCTTAGGATACAGAGTTTCATCGCTTGGTTTATCATTTTTTGAATTATGTTATAATACTTATCGCGGAAGACTTTCTGGTAACTGTATAGGTTGAACGCACATTATTCCTAGTTATAACATCTGCAGAGTCCCGAGGAACCTTTTACAGAGATATGTTTCCAAAATATAAGGACAAAATATTTCAATTTATATACATGTAGACAGTGCAAAATGGAATGAACAATAAAATGATGGGTCAGGTTTATAATGAAAGAAAAGCAGTAAAACTATTAGTGTTGTGAAACTATATAACTAAAGGGGCAAGTTGAAGTCAAGCTGGGCTTGCTTTTCGGCAAGTTCATTTCAAAAATTATTTCTAATACGGAGAAAACGGTTGTTTCTGGTGAATGACTCAGTGCCAATTTTGTCTCACTTGTATTTTTCCAGCAGTGATATTTATTGCATAATGAAGAAAGGACTGAATTTAATTTTTCCGAAATAAGAAGTCGAAATAAATACATAGGTGTTTACCATGTGTTTTCTAAAATAACAAATAATAGTTTATACAACTTTCAATTAAATAATCTTCTAACTTGAAATTGAAAACATAATTATGTTTTAGATAATATTCTGACGTGATACTTTATAACAATGTTTATTAAATTACTGAAACGAAATGCAAAACAGAGACAACTATATTTTTAGTTTAGTTTTAGTTTATATTTCTACAATAAACGATCTCTCACCATTGTAGGTTCGAGCCGCGCAAGCATATTGGGATTATTTTATGTGAGACGGCTATCAAGTTAGTTTATGGAACATCGGTGATTCTACTTAGGTGCCCATTTGTACCAGACATAATATTACACAGATCTTCCTGAGGTTCCATCAGTAAAACTGGAAAGTCGCCATATGACATATACTGTGTTGGTGCGACGTAAAAGCCAACAAAGAGTATCATTAAACGTTACACGGAAAGGGCTAATTGTCAGTGCTTTACTTTGTGCCCTGTCCGTTTTTTTTTTTTTTTTTTTTTTTTTCTGGTCCTCCTGGGCTAATTTCCGCTGGTTATTGTTGCTGGGTCGTGTGGGGGTGCGTTTATTGGCCTTTCCTTGTTGATCGTGTGTATCATATTGTATGTTTTATAAAATCATGTAATTCAAACTGTATCTGATAAAAAAACATTTGTCTTTCTTCCTGATAATATTGTTTTAATGTTTATTGATAAATTGTTGAGATTATTTACATGCCCTTTGTTCGGAAAAAGCAACAGAAGAAACAATATTCTAAAATAATTAATCATATTTTCGCCCTATTTATTAAATGCTGTGCTATAATAACCATTTTCTTATTTTTTTTTATTTTTTTTTTTTTTTTTTTGCAATTTGCATTCGATTTTACAATTGTTGTGATTTTATGCATTGTTGAATCGGATTGAATTCTGTTGCACGAGTACACATCAGTCAAAAGTACATTAGTCGAGGCTCTTTTTGTAAAGGCATGATTGATAATGAAGACATACGTATTATTACGTTGTTTTATTGAGAATGTAGATTCAATCGTTTATATTACTCTATCATAAAAACAACATATTTTCCTTTCTTAAATGTCGATTTTATGCACGCCTATATTAACGGAACGAATAAAAAGATTAAGCATTATTTTTTTATCTTGCGAGAAATAAAGTTCTTAAATATTTTACAAAATCTGAGACTTTTTATTTCATCGTCCATGATTGTTGCTTGTTTATATTCCTAACGTGAAATAGAAAAAAATGCTTATATCTGTGCACCAGAAAAAAAGCCCTGCAATAACTGTTGAATAAAGAATCACGCTCTTGGCAGTAAAACTATTTTTATAATCAAATACAATTTGGACAAGGGGTGGTACATGTCATTTAAAAAGAAGAAGAAAAGTAACTGCTAGACACTGGCTTTTTCTTTAATTAAGCATAAATATACAGTATGTATGAGACAATACAAGTGTTACAACTTTCACACCATTGCAACTGATAAAGCTGTATTCTAAGCACACTCTTGAAATCTAAAAACTACATCAATGATCCCAATGACCAGAGGAGTGAACAAAACTGAAAAAAAATATGTTGCAACATTTTGCAGAACCCTTACATATCTTAACAACTGGTGTATAACGATTCTTAAGTAGGGAAGTAATTTGTTATCGTTATGTTTACACAGAAGACAACTTTCACAAGAAAACGACAATCATAATCTTAAAACAGACTGGAGCCTATAAATTTTGGCGTAGAAATCTGAGTTAATATCGTAAAAAAAGATAATGAAAAGTACATTAATAATAATAACATTGATAACACATTTAAGCTCAAAGTGTCAAGTGGCGTAGTATGTCTTAATGACAATTTATTTGTTAAACTGGTGTTTGATTTTAAAAATAAACATTTTTTGCATTTAAACTTATAACAGTTAATCGCGTTCTAATACAAATATATCATTTCCCCTTATTATGGTTTAGTGTCGAGAAGGATTAAAAATATTGAATTTCATCTCGATATTTACCAAGTAATCCGTTTGCATGAGATAGTTTCCACCTGAAAGCACATATCATGTCACTAGCGCAGTAACGGGTTTACCCCATATATAATGCAATAGGATTTAACACTTTGACGATATAAAGGTAGAGAAAAATACTGGTTTGTTTAACACGAATACTTCATAATAACCCGATACAGCTTCAGTAAAAGAAGCCACATTTTATTGAAAATATTTTACTATTAAAATAAATATAACAAAACCTGGACGTTACCTTTTAATTTTTAGATGTATGTTTGTTTAATTTGAAATCTGACATTTGATCTCCTGCTTGCTTACACATTAAAGGAATACTTAGAATAATATTATATTGCAAATAAATATGAAATACTATGTTAAACAACTGCCTATGAATGTTTTTAATAACTGATAAATTTGAATCATTTTGTAATATTTGAAGATATTTCGGATTTGATTAAACGTGCATCGAAAAATTAAGATGCATATTTAAACTCAGAACTTACCATGTTATTTTTTAACTTTATAATAATGTTTATCATTCTGATTATTCATTATTATTACATTACTGGTAAATATGTCAAAATTAAAAAAGTGAAACAAGAGAAAAAATTTAATGTGTTTAATTGATAAATGAGATATCATATTGATATGCTTGATTATTTGTTCATAAGGTTCACAGTGAAAACGTTTTATTAGTTGACATTTCAGGACAAATATATATTATTCAATTTTCATTGTTCATTAATATTCGAAGAAAGTAAAGAAGTACTTTGAAAATTTGCTCTTTTATCATGTTAAGGACGCTCTGTCTTTAATACAACACGATGAAACTGAATTATATACTATTAACATTTGAATGAAATATCATCGTCAAATGTCCAGCAATTTTTAGATACTGAAAAGAACACCTGTAAAGGACGGCCATCTATATTGTGCATCAGCTAGCATTACGCTAGGATGTGTACATTTTACGTACACGCGTTCACCAAGAGTCATTTTTACCGGCGCCATGACCGAGCTACAACTTGCTCCAATGCTTTCATATTCACTTGTTACTGCGATTGTAGTATGTCCGTGAACAATAGCTGCGACAACATATTTTGCTTTTGCTTGACAAATGTGAACGCTGAAATAGTACAGACCAGCCACGGGTGCTGTAAACATTCCGGTTATTTTGTCATATCCACCACCTTCGTTAAGTAAAACATCAGGGAAGACGATAGTTTGGCTGTTGCCATAGTTTTTACCGGACCTTGTATATGCATTAAACGCTATCTTCGGTGTTGAAGTAAAATTACCTGAAGCAAAAATGATAAAAAATAATTTTAAAATCAATGTCAGTGATTCTTAGTTTTATGTTTTGTAGAAATAAACTGGTTATCAATATTGGTAAACGAGCAGCGAAGTGAATTATTGATTAATTCAAATGTATAAATATTGCAAATGTTCCGAAAATGACCAGCTTGAACATTCACTAAGAAACTTTCCTTTCTCGAGAACTCAGAAGTATTACATTTATACTTTGATGTAAGATTATACATGATATGTTGATCGCGATTTGATCCAGATTGGTAACAATTCATTTTGCTACTTATTTCTACACAAGCCTCTTTTTTACTACTAAATATTCTGACTAGGTAAACTTTAGTTTATTGTGCAATTGTCAATTTTTGATACAGATCGAATTACCCTTCATCAGACTTGATCTAAACAAAGAATTTAAGATTCAAAAAGTGAGGATAAATCTGTTCATCATTAATCCATTAAAAATTAGCTGTTGATCGATAAGCAGAAATTAATGCTAACTACTGAATGGTTTTACTTACCAGCAAGCTTTTCCAGCTGAGCTGTTTTTTCATTGAGCTCTTCGCGGATCTTCTTGTAGTCATCAAGTATTTGGCCAATCTGTTGATTTTGTTTTGAAAACTCTTGTTTCATTTCAACCTTCCGATGTTCCATCACAGACAACATGTTCTTTTCAAAATGTTCCTTTTTTTATCCGACTGATTCATTTTAGCTTCCATTCTGACCATTGTCTCCAACATTTGTTTGTCATATTTGAATTTTGAACATTCCCGCTCTATAGCATGTTCACTTGCTGTTGAGTAGCACACTGCGGTAAGAAACACAATAGCTTTAAATGAATAGTAGCCAGCCATCTTTCTCTAATGTTGCAAATACCAGTGAATTATGAATAAAGAAAACAGGAATACAAACGTTTTATACTACTAATCAGGACGTAAAATATTTGCATATATCCGATTACAAAGACGATGTTCATCTTCATGGACCTTTTTGGTGCTGTTGCATGATTTGTAAATATTTCTTTTTGTTTATGTATCTGAAAATCTTACTAAATATCATGCAATACAAAACATCCCCTCTGCAAAATAAATACTTATATACAACTATGATCAGTCTCAGTTTTTCTAACGTGTCATATTTTCAAATTACTGTAAGCAGACAGATATACTGAACATGTAAACATAAAAAAATCATTTTCTGTATTTAGCTAATTTTGTTATCCTTCTGAATCTTTGAATTCAAGAATTTGTGTTGAAAATTGAGTACAACTTAAGCCTGTGATAAGGATCCTGAGGGGCGCACTTTTTCATTATCCCTTATATACAGTCACAATAAAACCAAACCGAGATTGCAATGTTTATGTAATTTTGTTTTGATTCATGCTTCCGGGGGGATTACACTTTATCCAGTTTTTTAACTATTGAATTTTACATGCTTTTTATATTTTTGACTTTGAGACTGCTTTTGCTGCGCTCGTGCTTGAATGTATTAGACTGATTACCTCTTGGTTTCTGAAATTGAGTCTAGCTTTGTGATCATATTTATCTAAATAAATCTAAATAAAAATCAGTTAAACATGTTCACGAAATATGGTACCGATTACACCTTGATGATACATAACATTCATTACAATCACATAGACAAGTTTGTAATACATTACATTCAGTAATAAAGATAAAATTAGCTTACAGAGACTATTTCGAAGGTTGACCGCAAAACTGTTGTTAAGTCTTTCTTTATGTCAACAAATGAACTGCAGTTTTGTTGAAAATAATTACGGAGCAGAAGAGTATGGTTATTAAAATATTCACTGCACTATTAAATTGCAGTCTCATCTCTACTTTATCATAAAACAACAACTCAGTTGTGCATTTCGAGAATTGATTATAGAAAATTTCAAAGCATAGGTTGTGAATAGTTCTAATTAAAATTTAGCCGATCCAATAGCATCTAGAAATTTCCAAAACAATTGGAACTTTCCCAAATCATTACATGATTTCTTCTTTAACTCTTCTGTGATTTTAAGTTTCTTTTCAAGCGAATCTTCTTTGTAGCCATCTTTAGCAATTTCTTTTTTCCAGCACCCATGACGCTCAAGCATCTATCAGACATACCAGGAGTATTTGCAGCCATAGTGGCCCCACTAGCCCTTAAACAATGAGTACCCAACTTTGCGTTCGGAGCGACGGACTTTAACTTCTTAACAATAACTTCTCGAGCTCTTGTATAACTTAACTTTTTAGTTTTAGTTTTTTAAATAAGAGATGCAACCTTTTACGATCTAAATGCTGGCTTAAATAAAAAAATCCTATGATTTAACAGATTTAACTAGGATTCATAGTTTGGAGACCTTTCTGTTGAAAATGTGTCAGGGTTAAATCGTATACATATACATGCACAGTGCGTTAACTGAAGCGCGGGTATTAGTTACCCGCACTCCAGAGCTTGCCCATTGATTGGCTCATTTTTGCTGGGGTTTACATATTGTGACGGCAGGGATAGGGAAAGCGACAGAAATATCATATTCAGATCTTCGTTCATTGGTTCATTTTTGCCGGGGTTTCATATTGTGACAACAGGGAACGTATTTTTATATTTGACTATGATACAAAAGAGAAAGAACACCAAAACACTCGGTAATGTGATTAATACTCGGGGGCTACGCCCCCTCTTACAAATCAGATAACCTCGTGTTTCGGTGCTCTTTCTATTACTAAATCTCTTACTTCTATAATATCTCGAGAATTCTCATATTTTTCACAGAGCTCATGTAACATAAAATTGTCAACACCTAGGTTTTGATGCGATCCTTTGAGCTGTATCTAACATAGGCATAACAATGTTTTGTTCAGTAGGATCATTTACGTCATTGAGAGAATGCATCCATTTTATAGCATACACAGCAGACACTGTTTAATCTAACAAAAGTGTAATGTACATAGAAACACAAATATGCTGAGCTGGTAAATCAACTAAATTGTTATCTTTACAGAATGATTAAAAATGTCTAAAAAAAAAAAACCCTGTACTTTTTCACAGTATTTTCAGTTTTCGACTGTAATAAATATTTGTTCATACTTCCCGCTACATCACGTGACTGATGATCACTCACCCCAGCCTCACCCAGCTTCCGCTTTAAGGAATCTCTCAAGTCAAAACCTGTAGGAGAAAACTTCCATAAAGCACACGATATTATAATTATTATAAAAATAACACATATCATTATATTAGTATTTAGCCAAACTTCAGGCAAGCTTATTAAAGGGTAACGAGAAAATACCATATTTCCTCTGACTGTCGTAAGATTGCTGGCCATGTGGGTCAAACCAGCAGCAAGTCGTTATTTCATCTGCCTTTCGTAAGTATTCCAAATCTACCCAGATTTATTTGTTGTTTTAAACCACATCTATCTTCAGTTAATAATGGCCAAAGTGGTGCGCTCTTCTATTTAGGAATGATCAACGTACAAACAGCTTTTCTGCAGGTATCTTTTCTAAACAAAGAGAAACAACTCTCGGAGGGGGTACAAGCCACTTTGTCTCCCTTGACCAATTTTGGAAAAATGCGTCTACCGATTCTGTTCCCGGAACCCACCATCTGAAATTTAATTTTGTACATTTTTTGTTCATATGTGAAGCAAATCTATCAATAGTATGCGGACCCCGAATTTTGTCTAAATAACAGAAAACTGCTGTAATAACTTTCCAATCATCACTATCTACACACCGGCTTAAGTAATCAGCTCTTTTGTTACCTTCCCTCGGTATCCATTCAGTTTAAATCGTAATTTCATTTTCATCGCAAAGTGCTCTTGTATCTAAGGCTATGTTTTGTAAATTTGTCTTACTACTATCATGTTTTAATAAAGACGTTACGTTCCTGTTATCAGAAAGAAAAAAAAAACTTAACACACGATCCTTAAAGCTCTTTTTATAAGTATACAAAACTCTTAAGGCGTAAAATGAAACAAACAAACAATCAAAACTCTTCGAACTGCTTCTGCCTCCCGCCAATAATCGTTCTCTCCTTGACCAAGACCCTACGACTTCCGTACTACCTTTTCCGGGGTTCTTATCTTCATTCATGTATTGATACATTTAAAAGATTCTCTTGTTTTAAGCCTTGCTATACTACCTATCACACTTTGAAGTGATATAATCTGACTTATTACAGAAGCTAAAATCTAACTGGCACAATTCTTTCCGGATTCGATTCTATTTGCTTTATAATACATTCAATCTTAATAGCTAATCGAAACATCCGTTCTTTCTGGGTAAAAACTGTATTATCTTTATCATATCAAATACAATGACCTCACCATGTGACATTCAGTGAAGGTTCCCAATAACAATTTTTCATTTACTTACAAGAAACCGAACTCCATGACAGTAAATTTTTTACAAACTGACTGGAATTCACTTCTAATTCATAAAGTCAGTGTGGCCTCCTATGCCATCATCCAAAAACATCACTATTCTATGACTATAACTTCTGATATAAGCTGCGACTTCCCTTAAAAGCTTTGTTAATATATGCCCAGTGGTTCGAATCCCAACGGGGAAGAATTAAAGTGATAATATTTAATCGTGTTTCCATGTTGATAAAAAAAAACCCTAGATACGTGGTTGAAATATATTCACATGATCGTATGTAAAAGTATCAAAAGTAAAAAGAAATGTATTTTCAGCGAATATTTGCTTTGCAACATTAACATCTTCAAACTTGACCTTAAACAAATGTAAACATTCATTTATATGTCGACAATCTAAAACTAGCATAGGATTGCCGGAATTTCCATATGCAACCGTTCATGAATTTACAACATAATGGACTTCGTCTACCTAAGAAATAATTTCTTTTCTAAGTAAAGAATTAATTTTGCTCTTTACTACAAAAACGGGTTATCTCTCGCAGACCTACTATTCCGTAACACTACTTTCTCAGCAACTTGTAGCCTTCTTTTATAACATCTTTGATATACTTACTGGAAGACACCGATTCCCACTTGTTATAACGACTTTTTCACCAACCGACAGGTGAAGCTATTTTCTCCGGAGCCTGGACAGAGATGTCCTGCATATTACTTACTTCCGGATTAAGGAATGACGTCATCAGAGTACAGCTTGACATGCAGTTCCGGTGCATTTTCACTAATTTTACAGACCTCATCCATGTCAGACTTAACAAGCCTTTCAGCTTTCAAAGTACCCTTAGATTTTATATTCATACTCAGAATTGACTCACCTGTATCAGGCTCCGTGTCTGCAGAATTAACATGACTTATAGCACTATTAACATAGCAAGTACTTATCTTATTATTTGATATACTGTGAAATCATTTGTATTCGTGGGCATGAAATTTCGTGGTTTTATCAAAACGGGCATAATCATGGGATCTTAAATTCGTTAATCACCGCGCTGTTTTACTTACTGCATGTATATAACATAGCTCTTGTTAATAAATTTAATTTTTGCCTCTGGGAGTAACACAGTTACTGCCATTTTGGAAAGTCAATATTCTATATATAAAATAATTGACAAAATATGAAAAACTCCTTATTAGCAGCCTATTTACGTGAATTCTCATAATCTTCGTTACATATGCAGCAAACTTATTTATAGCACCAATATGAAAATTACAGTCAAAACTGCCCGATCGGCCACCTTTATAAAAGCGTCACCTGCCTAAGTGCGCCATCTCTGGACATCCCCAATGTAAATGACTATATGGTTGTCTCTTATAAGACGGCCACCTGCTCAACGCCGCCAACGGCCACCCATTTTCATCCCCAAAAAGCCAAACATACCTGATCAAACGGCCAGTACAAGAACGTTTGTCGCCATTTTTTTCTGTATCATACAATTTTCGTACCGTTTTACATTAATTTTTACCAGTAGTCGGTAAATTTGTTTGTAACTTAGAAAAATGACTTGTTTAAAATAGTTTCGTTTGAGTAAAATGTTTTTGATATAATACATGTATTTTCGAAAGTAAAGTGAAATTATAATTCTGCGTAGAAATTTCTTTTAAATTAACCACATTAACGAAATCTAACTGCCAAGCAAAATTTAATGTCCAAATTATTAAGTTGAATCTATACCTTTCAATGTCTAATAATCGCTAATCCGATTGTTTTGAAGACGTGTCAACATACATGTGCAATATGTACACGGTATCAATCTAATACACGCCGCGGGACATGACCTTTCTTTGTTTGCATAATCATCGTCACAGAAATCGTATAGTGGTGGCTATTTATTGTCGCAAATCAAAGCGTTGCTCGGCAAATTTCTTTTTCATTTGTATTGAGAACAACTTGTTTTTAATTTCCTCTTGTATGAATAAAACGTAATTAATATCTTTTCCTAAAGTTTACGGAGTTGAAAGAAATTAAATTGAATCAATAACCGAGCATAGTTAACTTTGTATGTCCGACGATTTAACCTGACTTTATTTTAACACTTTTTATCAATTACATGTATATGTTCTTCTTAATATTAGATTTTTAACATTACATATAAATTCCATGTTTTAAATGTTTTATCTAAAAATAAAAACTGAAAATAAAAACTGAAATCATTGCAAATCGTGGTGTTTTATGTCATATTTAAAAAATAGTTGAACATAGTCAATTTTCCTAGCCAGAGTTCAGCCCTGGATAAGAGAGCCACCTGTATAAGAGAGACACTTTTACAAATTCCCAATACTGTCTCTCTTATACAGGTTTGACTGTATTTTTATCAATTTTTTATGAAGATGATATAATCATGAAAGATTTTTTTATCCTATCTTAATCATATGATGTATAAAGAATAACAGCCAAAATGGCGGTCAGGGGAGATAATTATTGCTATGTGAAAAAAAACCTATAACGGCAACTCCACAATAAGTTTATGCAACAAAAAACTTTGCAACGATCTGTGCACCAACGGAAACCACAGTCACGTTACTTTTACAAAATCCAATTTGTTCTTAACGTTTACTTAAGATAGGAATGGCTACTTCTTATAGTTGAAGAAAATTTGGACAAGAGATAATAAAAGTCATGTAAACTTTGAAAAAGGTATTCCAAACATAATCTTGAATTTAATTAATAAAACAACATCAATGATTCCTCAGCAAGAAGAAGGTTTAGAACTATGGCGAACTATCTGGCAACATATACAGATCTCTAGCATTGCTTAACAACTGGTGTGTAAAGAACAAGGGTAATTTGTGAAATTTCGTGTAGACAACTTTCACAGTCATCATCTTTAAATTGACCGGGACCAATAAATTATTTGGCATAGAAAAATATATGACTTTATATTCATATTTTTTTTAATATATCATTAAGAGTACAATCATTATTAATAAACATTTGATATAATAATGAAAAGTGCCGAATAATCACATGCGCAGGTCAAGAAATAAAATGTGTCTAAATGCTTGATTTTATAAATTATTTTTAAACATCATGTTGAAATTTTTGTATTTAAAAGTTATAACAGTTAATCCCGTGCTAACACAACTACCGTATATGATTTCCCCTTATTATGATTAAATGTCCGAGAAGGATAATCTCGATATTTACCAAGTAAACAGTTAACTTGAAATAATTTCTATCTGCAATCACAAGTACTGGCACTAGTGCAGTTATGTGTTTACTTCTATTATAATTTATTAGGAGTTAACCATTTGACGATATTGAGGTAGACAAATCTTTAGGTAAGTAATATTGTTTTCTTCATATGACGGGTAATTAATTAATAATATTGATGGTTCATATCCTTACACAAAAATAAAGCAACACAACAAGAAATAAAACAGCGAGGTATCAGCTTTAGTGAGGTGTGCAATAAAAGAAGCACTTTTTTGAAAACATTTTACTTTAAAATAAACATAACAAAACCTGTATTTGATGTATTTACATTTTTTATTTATACTTTTTTTGTAAATAAACACTGGCAAAAGGAGGCAAACGATCGATCGTCGGTAAATAGTAATACATAAAATCAGATTGTAAATTGTCCTTTTATCATGTTTATGGAGCTCTTTTACAACAGGATAAACCTGAAAAATATATTATTAAAATTTTAATATTTTTATCAATGAAATATCATCGTCAAATGTACGACATGTTTTAGATATTCAGAAGAACACCGGTAAAGGACGGCCATCTATGACTTGAATCAGCTCGTAACACGCTAGGATATGGACATTTCACGTACACGCGTTCACCAGCAGTCATTTTTACCGGAGCCATGACCGAGCTACAACTTGCTCCAATACTTTCATATTCACTTGTAACTGCGACGGTAGTATGTCCGTGAACAATAGCTGCAACCACATATTTTGATACTTCTTGACAAATGTGAACGCTGAAAAAGAACAGACCAGTCACAGGTGCTGTGAACATTCCAGTTATTTTGTCATATCCACCACCTTCGTTGAGTAAAACATCAGGGAAGACGAACGTTTGGCCGTTGTCATAGTTTTTACCGGACCTTGTATATGCATTAAACGCTATCTTCGGTGTTTTTGTGAAATTACCTGAAGCAAATATATTAGGAAATTAATTTTATATTCAATGTAAATGATTCTTGGTTTAATGTTTTGTTGAAATAAACTGGTGATAAATATTTGTAAATGAAACAGAGAAGTGAACTCTTGATGAATTCAAGTGTATAAAGATTGTAAATGTTGGGAAAATGACCAGCTTGAACTTTCAGTAATACACTTTTCATTCTCTTGAACTCGGGTGTAATACATTTATACTTTGTTAAAAATGATACTATGTTGCGTTTTGGTCCTGTTTGATATCATTCATTGAGCTACTTAAGTTATTTCTACAAATGCCTCTATCTCTCTACTAAATCTTCAGACTAGGTAATTTTGTATTATAACAATGTGAAGCTTAATTTGTTCACCATTAATCCATTTCTTGATTGATAAGCAGAAATAAATGCAAACTACACTATTGTTCTACTTACCAACACGGTTTTCAAGCTGGGCCGTTTTGTCATTGAGTTCTTCACGGAAATTTGTGTAGTCAGCAAGCATTTGACCAATCTGTTGATTTTGTTTTGCAAACTCTTGTTTCATTTCCACCTTCCGATGTTCCATTACAGATAGCATATTCTCTTCAAAGTTTTCCTTTTCTTTATTCCACTGATTCATTTTAGCTTCCATTCTGACCATCGTCTCCAACATTTGTTTGTCATATTTGAATTTTGAACATTGCGTTTCGATATCAGGCTCACTTGCTGTTGAGTAGCACAATACGGTTAGAAACACTATAATAATAGCTAGCTTCTAATGAATAGTAACAAGCCATCCTTCTCTAAGGTTGTATCAGTGAATTATGAATAAAGAAAAAAGAATACAGACACTTTATACTTTAAAACAGGACATAAAATGATTATATTTACCCGATAACAACGACAATGTTCATGAACCTTTTTGTGATGTTGCGTGATTTGCAAATAATTTCTTTTGTTTATATATCTGAAAATCTCAAAAAAAACATCACTGAAAACAAAACATCCTCTCTAAAACAAATACGTATATACAACTGCGATCACTCAGTATTTTTAAAAGTGACATTTTTCACGTATCACTGTAGGTACGCTGAAAATAAAGGTCATGCAAACAAGCAATTATAATAAATTCCTTATGCTATGTTTACCATCGCTTAAATATACATTTAAATAAGTTCTCTAAGTACACGAGGAGCAATGCATATCAGTAAAGAATACCCATCATTACCAATATCGCGAGCTTTGCGACAGAAATTGATTGGTAATCTGTTTGCTTCAATTGAAAACAAAGATACATGTTTTACGTCGGTTGGTACCTGCGAAGTCCTTTTTCTTTTTCTTTTTTTAAATCTGGTTACATTTATAACTGTAACCCTATATTATGTTAAGAAATATCTGGCTATTAGCGGAAGAAGCCCATTATAGTATGTGCCTTATATTAATAATTTTACACATAATACTTTCTAACGTTTTTGTTTAAATTGTATATAGTTGCGTTATGCATTTCATGCTGATGACACTTAAGAACGATAAATATAAAGATCAGTTGTTAACAAAACAAATTATAATTGTAAATTAAGGTAGCTGAATGTCTCAGCACAAATAAATGAAACAAGTTGTCCTACAAGGGGAGGTAGTTACAATGCAATGCATCAAGTCACTTGAAGTCACTTATTCAGCATAAGCAGCAACAATTGTTGGACATTGGAATTAACGATGAGAAAATATATAAAATGACAAAGACTATTTATATACTCTTTCCGTGGTTTGAACTTTATGTCGATGTTGACCACCTCCCGTATGAAAGAATAAAGATATCACAATATTATTATACAAGTATTTTCTAACAAGGAGCAATGTCTGGATATTATTTGGCATTAGTTGTTTTGTTATTATGTTTATCTACGCAACAACAAGAAAAGACGATACAGAACCGACATGTTTTAAATTCAAATATGATAAGCAAATGTTAGAGACAATGGTCAAAATGGAAGCTTTAATAACTATGTGGGATAAAGAAAAGAAAAAATGTGAAGAGAAAACATTGTTTGTCATGGAACATAAGAAGCAGGGCATGAAACAAAATATTGTGAAACAAAATGAAAAGTTAGATGAAATGTTTGATTTCTGTAAGAACATCCTGAAGAACTAAAAGAAAAAAATACATCTGAAAAGATAACTGGTGAGGAAATTCTTAACTTTGTTTTGATTTCAATTGATTCTGCAATAACTATTGTTCATGTTATTATAGAAAGATTCATAATCCATCAGGCTTTAGCTAAACAATATTTGGTTATTAAATTATATATAATCATGTTACGTTATGTTTTATTTTATTACTAAAATAAACAGGCTTGATTATTTTCTTAAAATTCCCATTATTTTCCTTCAAGTAACAATACCACACCGACAATAGCGTTAAACACATATTACAGTACTGGGGGAAATTACGGCGTCGGTCAATCTATCATATTTCCTGTCGTATTACTTAATGAAGGTGATGGATATGATAAAAGCACTGGCATCTTCACAGCCCCTGTTGTATCACGTCAGCATTCATATATGTCATACCGAAGCAAAGTGTATAGTGGCAGCTTTTATGAAGATACTACAGTAACAGTTGCAACAGGATACGAAAACATCTGAAGTACCTGTAATTTGGCCATGGCTCTAGTAAAAATGGAGGCAGGTGCACGAGTGTATATTAAGAGTACATACAAATAAAGTGTCATGTATGCCGATAACTTTTAACTGTTTAATAGTAAACATAGTCATGAAAGCGGACAAATATCTGACACTTGATAATTATTAATTTCATATTTAATCGACTGTCTCGAATAATATTTAACATTCTTTTCTTGTTTTGTGCATGCGAGTTGTGAAGAATTTTTAATTTACAGAATTAAACAACTTAATGCAATTACTAACATTAGATAAGACAAACCAAATAATAATTGTATATATTTATATTAAGCACACAGTGTGATGATAAGTAATACATATATTTTGTCTTTTATTTATCCATTGTTGAATAGCGGGTTGCATTAAAACTGCGTGCGTCTCTCTGACTGTCCGTTCTTTTACATTATTTGCCCGCTGGATAGTCTGTAGCCTGAATAATTATATTCATATTTGTTTTGTACCATGAAAACCATTATGACACAATTTGCAGGACACAGCATTCTAGTCATAAGCAATAGTTACCCAATAGACAAGGTTAAACATATGTGTGTCCATTACATTCTAAACCGTATGAACTTTGATCTGAAAAATAAAATGGTCAGTAAAATCTAAACATTCCACATTTAAGTCCGTTGCAAGAATGCATAACGTTTGGAAGCTTGCAATTACTGTCACCGTCCAAGAATAGGATCAATTTAAATGAGTTTGCAACATACTCAATTCTTTTCGTTTTGGGCTTTCTTTATGGGTTTCGTTTTTCTCAATGTTATTTTCCTTCAGACTGTCGCGTGCTTTTTAGAACCGGTTTTGTAATAAAAAAAAATTGAAATATCTTTATTGCAAACTAAGTTGGGATGAAATAATTGCAATTTTCTCACAACCAGCTTTGTAATAAAACCGAGATTTTCAAAAACCGGTAAATTAAAATAATAATTGGCATAATGTTTTATAATATATATCGACTATTTTGATTACATGTTTTACATAAAATAGACCCTGAAGATATATTTTGAATTGTAAGTAATAGAAAGAACATCAAAACACGTGGTTATCTGATATTTACGAGGGGTCGTAGCCCCCGAGTATTAATCAGATTGCCGAGTGTTCCGATGTTCTTTCTCTTTTGTATTATAGACAAACATATAAACACGTTCCCTGTTGTCACAATATGAAAACCCGGGAAAAAGTAACCAATGAACGAGCATCTGAATATGATATTTCTGTCGCTTTCCCTTTCTCTTCCGTCACAATAAATAAACCCCAGCAAAAATGAGCCATTCAAAGGGCATGCTCTGGAGTGCGGGTAACTAATACCTGCGCTCCAGTAAACGCACTGTGCATGTATATGTATACGATTTATACTGACACATTTCAACAGAAAGGTCTCCAAACTATGATACAATGTACCTAAATCGACCCTTATATTATATTAAAATATTATTTAAAATATTATAGTATTATCTATCCTATTCAAAAGTGTAAAAGTCGGACGAATGTTTTTCCGAAACCAATCTTGAATTTGTTGTAAAAAATCGATTAAAATGCTATTATATTTAGAGACAAAAAATAATAATAAAATGTCTTTATATTTCATTGCGTTCCTACAAAAGAAACAATTCTGTCTTTTGATACCTTATAAAACAATAAAGTTCGTATTAAATTCGATTTAAAACTTCATTACCGGTCGTATTAATATCAGGAGAGCAAATATTTGAAGTCCATGACTATTTTTTCTGCTTCGTGCATATCGTGACGATAGCTCTAAACAATAAACTCGCTTGACTCTAAAACATACGCTTTCTAAGCACATTCTAATTTCTAACGGTCCACCCTAAAAATGTATTCTGTTTTTTTTTCAACTTACAACTAAGGATGTTGAAGGTTCAACAACAGAATTTTATAAACAAGACTTTCCGGACAAGAAGTAAGAAGAAAACTTTGTTATATCTTTGTTAATATCTTTGTTATTTGAATAAAAAAATAAATGTAAAGCGTCACATAGTTTGCTGGATGTTTTGTTAATCTCAAAGACTGAAACAAAATAATAAAGTATACACCTTTAAATGTGTTCTATAGCAAATTATTATAATGATGATTGAAATGTTTAGTTTTATGTTTTTAACATGTTTCACTGCCAACTATTATTTGAAAATATTCAAACAATCATTACTACAAGAAAGAAGTACGAAAGAAGTACGTATGTAACTATAAATCTACTTAAATTAAGTACAATTTATATATTTTGAGAAATGTTTACCATCTTTTGTATTAAAAGATTACATTGACAACTTTTACTTTTAACGATAAATTAGTATGTTATTACCAAAAACATTCTAAGTTGCCAAATAAAATGTAAAGTTTGTTCTATGAAATTTTTATTAATCATGAATAAAATATTGGCAAACTTGGTACAATAATTCGCCAAAACATGCCTGCACACAATGGTTTACTTTTGATTGAAAATGGATTATTATCAGAATTGTGTTTTATATAAATAGCCGAGAAGTTAAAAGTGAAAGTTGCAGACTTATTCATGTGACTGCATTTTTCCTTTATTAACATATGTCTACCTCATCGTTTCATAGACTGTAGAACATTTGTCGAATAATTTTATAACCAGAGAACTAATTTTTTTGTACCGACTAGATTGAGATGACTGACTTCATTCAATGAACGACTCATCATTTTAGTTGTTTGTAAAATGATAACATCGTTGTTAAACAAATCTAGACCTATATTCAAGACAATAGTATTTTACATAATAATATGTATCAGACAAAAAAAGCTTTACCGGAACATAATTTCTTGTTGCATACGGACAGCTGGATAGCGTCTCGTGATGACAAAAGTCATGTCAGCAAATAATGCAATGGAAATTATTTCATCATCTAAAGTACAATAACAACGTTTATATTTTCAAGTTTATTATATATCTGTAAGTTTTCTGATAGTTTTGGCATGCGAATAACAAATGTTCAAAGCGATTCATTGTATTGAGATTTCAAATAATTATATGACTTTTGTTGAAAATTTTTTGCTTTAACTTACAATGAAATTCCTAAATTCGTATTGCAAACAAATCGTCATACAAATATGACCGAGTTATCAAGTTATCATCCACGCTCCCTAGCATTGTCTTTAACATAATTCTTGTTATAATTATCATGTTTTCTTTTTCTTAAACATTTTTGCTACCGACATTAGCGTTCAGGATGGATGGATTGTATTTTGAATTTAGAGATAATACAATGGGCATAATCACTAATGAACTGACTCAATGAAAGCAGTAATGTTAATGCTCTTTTTAGTTCTCGTCTCACTTAGACCTAACCATGCCACTTATTTTGACGCGAATTTTAGTTTCCTTTTAATAACCATTTGTACCTGGTAAGTCTTTTTATACCTATATAAGCCAGGCTAGCCTGCTATTTAGTGTGTTCTTACCCGAATCTATAATGTTGTTGGCTCAATGTTAAGTTGTGATATTGAAATCGCTTAAGGTTTTGAACATACTGCAAGCATTTAAATTAAGCTCGATTATGGTGAACAAAACAAGGGGAGGCAAATTGTTTCATTTTATAAACAGTTCGGTGCCATACCATCTTTGTTTGAGGTTGATCAATGCCAGTAAATTATTTTAGTTTTCATGTAGCAAACTGTCCAGTGTACTTAAGCAAAGTTCTTCATTGGTATTTTCTTATTTTTCAAACTGTAGCAGAAAATACCATAGGATTTTATCACTTTTAATTATTTTTAAAGTGTTATTAATGACATTTTTGCAAAATGCTCGTATTACTGAAAACCTTTCTTAGTGCTAAATAATGCTCAATAAATATTTTGTTTTCAGAAACTTGCATTGTTTTCTAATACATGAATCTACAAAATGTTTGAAACATTTTTTAGTAGGAGATTTATTCTGGTAAATAAGTGTTAGAAATATAAGAAGTGTATTGGGTATGTCAATAATGGTTATTTTGATAAAACTGCTTTCAAAATTTTAATAAAGAAATCTTCATTTTACTGAATGTATAAATTTGCTGTGTTTTGCATGTATTAATTTAACCCCTGAATGACCAAAAATAATAGGGAATGATTGGACATTCCTCTGTTGGATATATAATTGTGTTCTTTTATTATATGAGACATATGAAGTATTATTTATTTAAATGATTCACATGCTACATTTTGTGTCCGTCGTTCTCTTCGTGAAATAAAATCATCTCGCTGCGAAGAGTAATGAAACTCAATTGATCGCTATGAATGAATTGATTTGAAATCCTTTACATAATATGTTACGATATTTATGACATGCTTTAATGGGGCTCATCAGACCTGTCATTAATTTAGCTTGCAATTAAATCAAGCTTTTATTAGTATTTACAAATTAACAATAACCACGCCCGCTCCACTTTCTTGCATTATGATTTTGATACGGTAAATTTAGGTAATGATCATTTCAAAGTCATTTCTTTTAAATTTGTATTCATCAATATTGCCAACATTCTGCTTTCTACATAAAGCCGAAAATTAAAGAAAGAAACCGGTGGTTTATCTCCAAACATCATACATGTATAAAACTAATTGCTACTTAGTGTAAATGTAAAAAGCAAGCTATAATGACACGCGATTCAGAAAGTCATTTCGAATCGATTTGGCTCTAGAAAGGAGGCTTTAGATTTGCTTGATATAATATAAGACTTACTGTTTATTACGATGAAAACCAGATGTTCGAGCACTTATGTACTAACTAAAAAGTACACAGCCACAATCCCAAAACAAGTATCATGCCGAGGCTAGGGGTTGTGAGAGATGTTGAACTTATTCATTATCCCTCATGTACAGACTCAATCAAACCGAGTCTGCAAATGTCACGTTATTTTGTTGTGATTAATGCTTAAGAGGGATCGACTTCGTTTCCAGATTCTTATATCGAGTGAATCCATGGAATCGGTTAGTTATTGTTTTAAAATATATTATGTATGTGGAAAAAGTAATTTTTATGTTGGATATAAACATCTACGTAGTGTTTACTTTATTCATTAATCTATTTCACTTCATTTGTAACACATTTAAACTGTACAAGGACTAGGGTCCTCGAAATTATTTTATCTGTGGTTGTGGTTCTAACATAAAATATTTAACCATCAGCAATTTTATTACGTCCATCCACATAAAATGTAAATAAATATACATCATATTAGTACGCGGAACACGGCAACATATCTTTTTTTTTAAAATATATCATTGTTATACTTAAGGATATGTGAAAATATCTTCCAGTTAAAGCTTGCGCCTGCATAACAAATAGCCACTATAAAATCGTACTTTGTAAGGGTTATATTGAGCCAATTTACGATAATTTTACGCGTAAATAAAGATTATATAAGTGTGTTATACATGACCCAAAAATAAAATTGGTGAATATGAAGGCCACTTCCCTTTAAAAAATTAGGAAAGGAGTTTGATAGCTAAAACTTTTAAGAAAAATAGTTAAATTACAGGACAACAAGAAAGGTGCATACATTTTTGAAACTTTTACATTTTAGCCTTAAAGCTTTGAAAAGCTGAATTTACACAATGCATCGTATACGTTAACGTGCAGATTGTTTATTAATTACAAAAAATATGTTACATAAAATAGATTAATCATAAAATTTTGTAATACAACAAATGCTTTTGTAAGTATCTGAAATATTTAGCTCGTTTCTTAACGTGGTTTAAATATTCCTTACTTAAATAATAGAAGAAGATAATACTTAATCATCATTTAGATATGTTGTCTGGTTCTTAAATTGATCTTTTCACACGCTGTCTGTGATGTGCAGACTTAATGACATTTTGCCCTCTTTCAATTGTTTCAATCGTTCCGCCTATTGTTTTCTCGTTAAGGGTACACATATTCTTAAAATTGGGGATCATACGCCATTTTACCAGAAGGAGTTTTTTTTATAAAATACTTACGCTGTAAAATATCTGTAAAATATCTGCTTATGCAGCCAATGTTTTTATCTTATTTCTTTTCTATTAAAAATTATCGGCACATTTTTTTTTTAAATTTTTTGTCCTTTTCTCTGATTTACTATTGGTATTTGTCTCAAATAAATTATTGATTTGTTTGTTTTTTTTTGGTTTTGTTTTTTGTTTGTTTGTTTGTTTGTTTGTTTTTTTTTTTCATTTTCTTTTAATAATCAATATATACATGTACATCATTTGGGCAAAATGCGATGTACAAAAAAAATTTCAATAAGAAGTCAAAGGTCAAACTAATGTTGATTATTTTCTCATTCTAACAAACTCGGACATTTCAATAAGAAGAAAAATGTCAATCTGAGGTTGATAATTTTCTTCCACTAACAAACTCGGACATTGTGTGATAGGACATTAGAATTACTTAAGTATCACCGTTAGTATCATCTGGTGCAGCTTAAGCTCTACAAAACAACAATCTTTGGGAGATAAATATTTATAATGTAATATTTTGATGTTAAGAGGTAATATAAAGGAGAACATTATATTTTGGGAAGAAGTATTATCATTGTTGTACAGAGATTATTTCTATCTAAAAGGTCACACTGTAGAGGTTATACTGGCTGTACGTACGTATGTAGATGCGTATTTTTCCTGATGACTACAATGTGATTTATATATTGCGAAGTCAATTTATTTAAAAGGTTTATGTTAATCCTGACTGGTCGAATATAAATTTTTTTCTAAAACTGCCTTACGATTTTGAAGAAGACACCAGTTTTTCAAAAATAAAAGTTTTGAACATTAAAGTGTACCTTTTAAACAGAACAATTATTTTATTGTTTAACAAGCAACTGAATTGCGCGTCTTTGAAATATTACATTCAACTTGTTCGTTTTGCAAATTTTTAGCCTATATGTAGAACACATTGTCATAGTAAACTATTGTAAACGTGGATAATATTCCGTTGTACACTTCTCTTTCTCACAGTTTAAGAAAATATAAGGTGTTATATAAAAATATTGTAAGTGTATATATGAAACGAAAAATTGATCTCTTAGCGTTTAAATATATACATGGAAATATATACAAGTATATATTTGAAAGACAGGGCGCAGCCATTTTGTCTATTGGTAAAACTACCACATTCATTTCCATTTCCGCATTAGCACAATAAAATGCTGATTTACGCTTGCTGCGTAAAAATGATACATATGAGATATATAGATTTTGCCATAGGGGCATGGGTTATACTTTTGCAGTTCTCTTATTACTGTTGAGATAGTGCTTGATATCCTGATCTGTTTATAAACTAAATATTCATAACAAATCAAATATTGAGATTATATATTCATTCATGTTTTTTTTTTAATTTACACAATTGTTTTAAGTTTTTAGTTTAACAAAGATAGCAAGGCCTAAAACACATGAATCGATTCTTGCTACAATGTTCTTCATTTTCATTTCACACGCAGTCTACATACAATCACACGTATTTTGAATAAAGCAGTACAATCCTCTTTCTACAAGTAACAACATTTTCAAATTTAACTTAAATGAGACAGTGTTATGTGATAAATACAAAATGAAACGGGTTTTTTTATTTTTAAAGCGTTTAATGTAATATTTTTGTGAAGAACCAACACATTGAATATGTGTCTTTTTTGTATGTTCCGCTAAAGTAGAGACATAGCAAAAATTACCGATAACAAAATGCCCTAGACATGAAGAAGAACACCAGCAAATGATGGCCATCTGTATATTGTGTTTGCTTTCAGCTTGCTGGAATGATAGACAGACTTGGTTGACACTTTCTCACCAATCTTCATCATAGCCGGAGCGCTAACGGAACTACAACTTTCTCCGCTGTTTTCGTATTCTGTTGTTGTAGCGACTGCAGTTCCTTCATGGATAAAAGAGATTATCATGTATCCTTTATCATAATTACAGATGTGGGCACTGAAGAAGTAAAGACCGGTTACAGGTGCTGTAAAGATTCCAGTTGATTTGTCATATCCGTCGCCAATATTTAACAAAACGTTTGGAAACTTGACCGGTGTGTTAATACCATAACTTCCACTTGAGATTGTGTATGCATTGAATGCAATCTTTGGTGTGGTGATGACAGAACCTACAAAAACGTATATTATCTATCATCTTTGCAATAAATCAACATAACAAAACAGATAATGAGTAACATGAATAAGTATGTACACATATGATAACAAAAGACTCGTGGTAATAAGTATGAATCTTGAGGTTAGCAACATTAAGATCTAAACTGACATTACATATAAACATATGTTTGTTTTGCATTATTATTTTCAAAATGAGATGTATGTTAACTTATCCTTTTATTTGTGTAGTTGCTTAATAATATATCAATAAAGAAGTGAAGACAATTGTTTACAAAGATTCAAATTGATAAGATTTTGTACTGACTTACACAGGTTAATGACAATAACCTATTTATGTTATGGTTGATTTAATTCGACGATGACAAATTATCATACTCGTTATCAATTTTAAAGATGTCATCGATTTTTCATATCAGTGATAAAACAACAAAAGCAAGATCAAGAAGAAAAGGCGGCGTTCAATGAACGAAACCCCAATAGGACCCAGCAACAAGAACCAGCGGCAAGGAGCCCAGATGGACCCCAAACAAAGACAGGGCTAGGACGGCCTAATCATTAAAATGATAAACAATGTGTAACTGAAAAAGAACTCAAAAAAGCAAATTAATGATTGAAAAATAGCCCCATTAAGTTAAAGGTCACAGTGAAAGGGGACAGGAGACCCGGGAAAGGGGGAGGAAGGATACTTACCGTAGACGAGAAAACAACAAGGGACACAACAAAAAGTGTCACCAAATAGTATGAAACAACACATATATCTGAGGAACACAGTGGAGCACCTCCTTTGAACGGTCAGCAGCAAAAGTACTGCTGGCGAGTTAAGACCGGTTAATGTTGCACCAAACTTCACTCTAAGCCCCATCATGTTGCTATAAACGAGACAGTGTAAATAAAATGAATCTCTGCCAAGTAAAATTCTAACAGTTGTTTTGATTACCAATGGTTAAATAAATAAAACACCAAATTGATCATGTCATTTTAAGTTTGCGATGACGCAGTAATGATGTACACAGCAGTTAAAGACCGCTGCCTCCTTTGTTACATGAAAAAGAAAAAAAAAAGAACATCAAGCCCGCAGAAAAAGAACTCATTCGGCATTTTAAAGATATGTAAGATCTTAAGTTTATCATCTTACCAGTTATATTTTTAAGTTGTATTGTCCAATTTCTTCGGTTGCCACTATTGCCTTTGAAGTTTTCAAATATGTTTTCCAGCTTTTCATTTTGTTTTAAAAACTTCTCTTGCATTTCCTCTCTACGATGTTCCAATATAGCAAGCACATTCTCCTCGAAGATTTTTCTTTCTTTATCCCACTGATCCATTTTTGCTTCCATTCTTACCATTGTCTCTAACATTTGTTTGTCATACAAATGTACTTAAATTTAGAAAATATTGGCTCGTCTTCAATCGCTTTTGAGAAGCACAAAACGATAACAAAAAAATTGCTGACAATGAAAAAATATCCAAAAATTGTTGTTACTGTGGCTTTGGTCGTGATGACTGACTTTATGAATAAAGAACTGATATAGAGGCTTTATACTTTATAACAGGACGTTTACTAAGTATCCTCTGCCAATCACGATTTCAGTGACCTTCAGGGACTTTTTTGCTGCGTGCTTTCGATCAAGATGAGCGGAGATCTGATACAATTACTTAGGCTTCTTTTTGTATTTCCATATACCCTTTAGACCTTCACCTTGATGCAATCTTTTTAAATGATAGCATTGACAATAACATCTCTTACAAAACATTTTAGTCTTAGTATGTGCGTAGTTTGGTCTTTTTGTGTGATCTCGGGAGCCCCACTTTATATGACCATATTTTTATTTTGTAACAAAGGTTTACTTACACAAGTAGTTCATTGTGGCTAAGGCACCAGAATAGCCTCCATCGTTAAACCCTGCGTTATCAAGTACATTTAGAAGTTATATTTCTGATTTAATAAATCAAAATATATAAATATTATATACAGTATATTTGCCGTCTAACGATAAAAAGAAAATAACTCGTAAAATAAGTCAATAAATAGATAACGTGTACCTGAACGGCTTTAATTACAGCCGTGGTGCATGCAACATGCATTGTAACAATGATACTTGTAGTTGCCTTTTTAGTAAATGACTACGAAGAAATGCTGTTGTTAAATTTTGCTTTATTTGTTCCATTCTTTTTCTATTTTTTTCCATAATAAACAGTAAAGTATATTTTGAAAAAAGTTAGGTAGATGATTGCCCAATCGAACTCAACCAATCGCAATATGCATGAATATAATCTAATACATGTACTCATTTGAAAACACTTTGATGATAATTCTTTAAAAAGAAATGACGTATTCGACGAACAGATGTAGAAGCAAACAATTATCTGGACATATTTATCATTCAACAGATGTAAGCCTTAAAATGTGTATGCCTATGTCCTACGTAAAAATAGTTCAACCTCGGTTATCTCTCGAACAAATTTGCAAAAGCCCACCGAAGTAGAGCGAACGAAGTTCGACTGTATATTTTGACACGAATTTTAGCATTATTGTGACCATTCGAACATGATAAGCCTTTTTACATATATACAGGCAGGTCAGCCAGTTCTTCCGTGCTTTCTTACCAAGATTTATAATGTTGTTGGTGCATTGTTTCGTTGTGATATTGAATATGTTAATGTTTTAAATGTAACGTTCAAAATTTTAGCAGGGACGACTGAAATAAAGCCACGATTTTGGTGAACAGTTAAGATTTTTGATGTGTGTGCTATTGCCTTTGATATCAAAGTCAAATTGTACAAACATGCATAGTTGTTATCGATAAAAGCATCAGAATGTTTCATACGACGCAACCTCTGTTTTGGGACAATACGTAAAACAACAAACACTTTTACACAGAGTAAAACAGCTCATCTTACACTAACAACAAAATAAGCTATCCCCTTTTTAAATGCTGCTTTTCCGAGAATGAACCTTACAATTAGCAAAAGTTTTTTGATGGTCTATATCAAATGCAGCTGGACATTCAATGAAATTTAAATGTGCTTTCTTTAAGTTTGTTACTGGTGTTCTTTATGTTACATAGAATTGTTTGCATTCAATTTTAATTAAAATATATTCAGAAGTGATATTTCTATAAAAACGTATATAAATATAAAGACAAATAAAAGACCAATCAATCATTAGATTAGTTTTGCAAAAAATCAAAGTTAAATCATGTGTTAACGAGTGTGGTTTGATGTGTAATATGTATTGTACGATATTCTTTAGCATTCGACTCAAATACTGAAATGACCATTACATCCCTTCGAAATATTGTCCATGGTTTAGACTCAGTCAAATCGAGTCTGCAATTTCATGTACTTGCTGTGATTAATGTTTCCGAGGGATCTCTTTGTTGCCAGATTTTTATACTTCACAACAGCAAGTGTCAAGTGCTGTGTGGCAGCTGTAAAATGTTGCCCGAACATCAATGCAGTGTTGTATTTATCTTGTCCTTCAGGATCATTGATAGCGGCACTATTAAATGTAAACAATTGAGCCGGTGCTATGTTGCACGGGGGCTGATGCACTTATTCAATATCCCTCATGTACAGACTCAATCAAACCGAGCCTGCAATTTTCAAGTTATGTGCGGACCTGTATATAAGCTGTCTTTTTTCTTCATATTTTCCAACATTTTTTAACAGTGGTAGACGACAGGCATTATAGAAATTATATTTTCTTTAAAATTTTGTTCATCTTAAGGCTCATGTTTATATCGTTGAATAAAGTAATTCAGGCGTATTAGCATCCACGAAATCATACAAAGCATTATTGCACTGTGGTACAAAACATATATCATACAACACTCGTATTTGTAACCCATTTAAAAGCTCAAATATTAAGAAAATGTTTTACTTGTAATGCTACATGATATAGTACATGCGTAAATGTTCTTGGTCTTCATACTCATTTTATCAACAAACCATTAAGACTGTGTATGAAATCACATCTGAAATTGTGACATATATGTGAGTACAATATGTGCTATAAAGACTTACCCAGATATTTAAAAGAAAATTTTTACGAAGTCAAATATAATATTCACGAGTACCTCTGTTTAATTTGTAATGAATCACATTTTCTATTGATGTTTACTTCTTTAAAACGGACACAGCTTGTGGTTAATCAATTAAAGATATTTTCATCCTGTTTGTTTATTTTGTTTTCAAATTTATCATTTGCGACTCATATAAGGAAATAGAAAACATGTTGCATGTAAATTGTTTATGTCAATTAAGAGAATTGAAGTACAATAAATAATAAAACTATATGTTGAATTTAATTGATGTACAACTAGAAACGCTCGTATTTCTTACTAATTTTAGATGTCATTTTAGGCATTACAGTTTCAAGATTCACAACCAAGGAATAAAACGATCAATTTTAAGTATAAAAAAAGAGAAAAAAAAATGACACAAAAAATGTAGCAGGGGATATTTGACCTAATTTTTATCTATAAAAAAGAATACACCCCTTCCGCTCTGTATTCAAAATTATATGACGTATCAAATTTTCATGTAAATCCTGATATTTTTAGTAACATGTTATATATGGACTATTATCAGGTCGAGTAAAACTGCATAAACTGCAAAATCAATAACAAAGGTATGTATCAACATCGTAAAAGTAATACTGTGATTGCAGTTATCTTTCCAAATAAATAGTTATGAACAACTTATATTCTTGAGTTATAAATCGTATAATATAAAGTATTATTTCGCTTAGACTTGATTGTATTACTTTGTTATCATATGCATGTCACATCATTTACCATCTGTTCTATTTTACAAAAAGTGCTCATTTATAAAATTGAAGAAAACAGTGCATAAACACACTTGCCGCTTGTTATTTCAAACGATTTGCTAGGTAAACCATTTGGACCCACAAAAGGAACAATGATCGGAAGTAACACTTATTTGTAATTGTAAAACATTGTACACATTGCATTTGACAGGCTTGCATTACAGGGTAGTGATTTGGGTTATCTACGATCACATATATCTACCATTTGTACAAAACACCACAATATTTATGCTTGTACAGGCTTGCTTATTCAAAATTATATATTAATCTTTATATAAGTGACACGGTTTCTTTTTATATATATCAGCTCTTTTTTGTTGCCTGTTAGTTGATTGGGATTGTCTTCAACAAGAAAACAAATATTAATAATATATATACATGTACATATTTTTTTTATATATATAAAAAAGTTTGTTTTCAATATAAATGTTAGCAGAACATAGTTAACAAACATCCGTTTATGGCGTGAAAAAACAAACAATAATAAGTGCTTAACGCCATAGCATTTATTTTGATTACATACTTAGATACAGTGAAGAGTTTCTTCATAGAAACATTACAAAAATCTTAACAAAAATACAACATTTAAAATAATCCACTTTTGTCTTAATGAGATAGTATTATATGCTTATAAAGAAATGAAGTGTGTTAAAAACTATTGATTTGTTTAGCATTTATTTTAATATTTTTCTTAAGATTTTGAATATTGATACATTAACATTATAGTTTCAAAGGAATGTCAGATTGGGAGATAAATGCAAATATATAGAAGTAAAGATAAATTGTTTTAGATATGAAGTAGTACACCAGCAAAGGATGGCCATCTGTATTTAGTATCTGCTTGCAGATTGCTGGCACCATAGGACTTGATAGACACTTTCCCACCCATATTTACCATAACCGGAACATTAACTGAGCTGCAACTGTCTCTACTGCTTTCGTACTGTGTAGTTTTGGCGACTTCATTTCCTTCATGGAAAATAGAGATGACCATGAATTCTGCATTTGCATTACAGATGTGGGCACTGAAGAAGTAAAGACCGGTGACAGGTGCTGTAAATATTCCAGTCGTTTTGTCATATCCTTCGCCCAAATTTAGTAAAACGTACGGAAACATGAGGGGTTGATTGTGACCATAGCTTCCGCCAGACATTGTGTATGCGTTGAATGCAATCTTTGGTGTGCTAATGAAAGAGCCTGCAACAAAACATGTTATTTAACTTTCATTCTAACATTACATTTAAACATTTATCAAAAGAGATTCAGTTACAGGAATAAGTATGTGCACATATGAACACAAATGTTTAATATCTAAATTGGAAGTCATATTGGCGAACATTTCTTTTGCATTATTTTTTTTATAAAATGAAATGTACATAATACGTATGTTGATGTGTTAAGTTGCTAGAAAGTAATAAAACATTCGTTTTATGAGCTCAAAAGGTGTGATTATCCCCATTGTTAAGTTTTTTCGACTGACTTATAATACATTGGTAAGTGACAATATCTTATCAATGGGTTTAACCACACCTTAAAAATAATTGAAGGTCGATTTAATTCTACAATGACGATTCACCATATTGGTTATCAGTTAAATTGCAACAAGATATAATCGATTCTTCAATTCAGTGTAAATCAACAAATGGATGACGTAAATTTGTTTTTTGTAATAAAAAGCCGTAAAACCGCAAAACTATAAAGAATCATTGTTAGTTTACGGCGCCGCAAAAAATGAAGTAAAAATCAATTTAAGACATCATCCGCTTTGTTTAAAATAAAATACGCAAAAATAAGAAGACCTACGGTATTTTAAAGATATGCAAGACCTTAAATTCAATATCTTACCAGCTATACTGTCCATCTACAATGTCCTGTTATTTAGGTCACCACGAAAGTCTTTGTAGTCTTCAAACATATTTTCCACCTTTTCATCTTGTTTCAAATATTTCTCTTGCATTTCCTCTCTACGCTGTTCCAACACAGCCAACACATTTTCCTCGAAGGTCTTTCTTTCTTTATCCCACTGTTTCATTTTTGCTTCCATTCTAACCATTGTCTCTAACATTTGTTTGTCATACTGAAATTTAGAAAACGTTGGCTCGTCTTCAATCGCTCGTGAGTAGCACAAAACAATAACAAAAACAACTGCTGACAATAAACAAAATCCAAACATTGTTGCTACTGTGATAGCTATCACTGCACTATATGGGTAAAGATCATGATAATGAGGCTATATACTTTAAAACAGGACGTTATGAAAGTATACTCTACCAATCACGATGTCAAGTCCATTTTAGGGACTTTTTTGTTGCTTGATTCACATTTAGATGAGGGGAGGTCCGATACTATCACTACAGCTTATTTTTGTATTTTCAAAAAACCTTTTTGAATATAAATAATGTAGAATATCTTTACATGAATACGGTCTTAAAAAGATAGAATTGACAATGAAATCTCTTACAAGACACCTTTATCGTAGTTCGTACGAAGCATAGACTCCCTGCATGATCTAATGGACAAAATTATTTTATATAACCATATCACTTTTTGTTTATAAAGGTTTTATTCTATTTACTTACAAATTCATATGCATTGTTGTGCGAAATTACTTATTACGGTTTTAAAACGCAATTAATATATTGCTTGTGGAGTGAAAATTTTGAAAAATACTGCATCAATATAAACTTTTACCTGTCATTATTTATATACAAATGGTGCACAGCAGAGATTTAATCGCAGATATTATGAATAAAATACCAATACAATATTTACGAGAAATGAGTAATTAAAACATAATTAAAGAAAAAAACACATAAAAATCAATAATCAAAACGATAATTTAATAAATTGGCGATTTTCGCAGACGCCGTTAGATTTAGTCTCTTTAATGAAGGACTATAACACTTGTATACTATCTCTTGTCCAAATAACATATTTGCATGAATGAACCCGAAAAAGAAAAAGAACAGCGACAACTTTGACAATAAAAAAATCATTAGTGGAAAAACAATACTGTTTCGTTTCTTTCTAAGGCTAGACGGGAATTTTACGATGAACAAAGAGGTAAATTAAATGCTTAATTGCATTAATAAGAGATATTTTAATTTTACAAAAAATTGTAAAATTAACTATCCCTGTTGAATATGCTTTGCATATTGTTTTGCATTATTATATTTGTTACATTTTTCTTGATGTTATTAGTGATTTTAGATTCTGACTTTATTCCTTACGGTGGATTGCAATAATTATGGCTTTAGAGAAGATTCTTTGACTAAAATCACATATGAACTACCTCAATCAAAGTAGAATTTATTTAATGTCCTTTCTGGATTCCCTTCATCTCTCTTACATACCATTCTACATATATTTTGACACGAATTTAAGTTTGCCACATACCAATCAGACCTGGTTAGCATTTTCACATATACACTTTCGACGGAATGTCGTGCACCGTTCCAGGTCAGCCTGCTGTCCGTGCTTTCTAACTACAGTTGACTCTCAATAAGTCAAAATCGCTTTATTCAAAATTCCGCGTAAGTCGAGGTATTTTTAAGTCCCGTCAAATTTTCTTCTTTATCTTTGTATTTTAACTCGGATTAGGTCACATTCTTAGGTCTGTATGTTCTTGGCTTAATTTGTCGCTGTGATATTGAAATCCTTTGAAGTTTTGAATGGACTGTTCAAGTTTTGAAGCAGGACCTGAAATTATAACTGATTATGGTGTACAATTCAGATAAATGACGTATGTTTAGTGTAAATTACGGTATGGTGATATTCGTTATGGCGTTTGACAGCCATTACAAAATGTAGAAACAAGCATAGTTGGTATAGATGCAGCTGCATCAGAATGATTTATACAGAGCCACCCGTGTTTTGCGCCCTAAGTAGATAAACAAACACTTTTAACCAGATGTTTAATTCAAAAGTAAAACTTCTCATGTTCAACCAACAAAAAACTTAGCTATTCCCTATGTACATGCTGCATTTCTGATAATAAACATTACTTTGAGCAACAGTTATTTAATGGCCGATATTAAAATACAGCTAGGCATAAAAGTGACACTATTATTCTTATGAAAATTTATTGTAGTATTCCTGCTGATAGTTAAAGTAAAACTAGCTCAACAAATCTAAACGCACGTGTATAGCGTTTGACACGACAAGACGAAGAACATACAACAACAAATATAAAACAAAACAAACTGCACCGAATATATATTTTATTTTTAGTAAATACATTTCAATAGACCATCTTACTTCAGGTGAAATTTAAATGTACTTTGCTTAAGTTTGTAACTGATGTTTTTTATGTTACATTTAATTGTTTGCATTTAATTTTAATGGAAATACAGTCAGAAGTGATATTTCTAGAATAATCAATGTGTATATTATTATATAAACAAATAAAAACGAATCAATCAATAGATTAGTTTTGCAAAAGTTAAATGTTAAATCATGTGTTAACGAGGGTGGTGTGATTTGTAATATGTATTGTACAATATATTTTAGCATTCGACTCAAATAGTGAAATGAACATTACATCCATTCAAAATATCGTCCATGGTTTAGACTCAGTCAAATCGAGTCTGCAATTTTCATGTACTTGCTGTGATTAATATTTCCGAGGGAACTCTTTGTTTTCCGATTTGTATACTTCACAACAGCAAGTGTCACGTACTGTGTGGCAGCTGTAAAATGTTGTGCCGTACTTCACTTCAGTGTTGCTATTTTTCTGGTCCTTCAGGATCATTGATGCCGGCACTATTAAGCGTTGATGTCGCACTTATTCATTATCCCTCATGTACAGACTCATTTAAACTGAGCCTGCAATTTTCATGTAATTTTTTTGTTATTAATGCTGCCGAGGGATCACTTTTTCCGGACTTTTGAAATACATATATCCATTGTGTTAAGATAGACCTTTTAGGCGCTGACTGATGGCTCAGTCAATGGTCTGCCGAAACTTGTATCGACGGCCAGATATTAAGTTTTGGGAAAATATAAATGTCGCAGGTGGCTAGATCTTAAAGGTATGATAGGTGTGACAGGAATGTCATCTTTTCCGACTTCAAATATTCCGACTTCAAATATTTCTTCTCAAACTCAGATTCATATGGTGGACAATTATCACGAACATGCCTTAAGCCTAGCATAGGGTGTCATTTCTGATAATATTTCTTGAGCTCGGTAATACCGACTTGTAATACCTCGCACTTTGGTACCGAAATATTGTACCATCTGCCAATGCGGACCTTTATATACGTTTTTTTTCTTATTTTTTTTTCCAACAATTTTTTTAAACAGTGGTTATCTCCATGTGTATTTTCACATTGAGGTCGCGATTCTGTTTGAAAAATTTGATAAATAAAAACATAATTTGTCGAATTTTGTTGTGAAAACTATCTAGAATGAAAGAAAATGGTACAACTTAGAAAATTAATCCGAAACCAATATCTTTAATTCAGTCGTTAACGCTGTACAGATGTTTAAAGTGTTGTTTACGTGACGTCACAATGTAGCGCCAAACAGCAGGTGCAAAACAATCAAATCAAGTTCGCTATTTTAATGTCGCAAACGAGTTAAGTTTTACATTTATTCCACTTTTAATAATTTTATTACGCTTGAAATTTTATAGAGATAGAGTGAAATAAAATAAACAAACAAAGTTTTATCAACGTTTCAAAATTCGTTATTCTGAAAATGTTTCTACACACGATAGATTTAAAAAAAAGGTTTTTTTTCAACCCACTGGAACAGCCTTTAAGGAAGGTTTTTATTGGAAACTCTGAGGCGAAAACAAATTTAACCACCAAACATAAAGTCCAACTTTATAATAATAATTATATTTTTCTTGACGTGTTAGAATGGAAATAGATATTAATTCTTCGGCCTTCGTGATTATATTACTACGCATTTGAACTCAAACCGTGCATTATTCTACAACAATGCACTCAGAATTGCTATCTATTTCCTTATTTTACCCCAATAAACACTTGTATTTCTTAATGCAAGTACAACAGTTATAATATTTATTTTTCTGTGAACATTTTTATTAATTGTAACATTACGTGAATGTCTTACTGTCGTTGATTTTTATCTTTCATTTCTTCAAGTCATCTTCTGACTTGTTAAGTTGTTCGTAGAATGCATACTTAACTTTGCAAATAAATTGCACATGTTGCAAAAAAAGGCTTAAGATTAAACCACTTCATTCATTTATTCTTCATACATACATTCATTCATTTATTCATTCATTCATTCACTCACTCACTTACTCTCTCAACTTCGTACTCATTCACTTATTTATTCACTCATTCACTTACACTCTAGCTCACTCGCTCGCTCGTTAGTTCGTTCTGTGTTCGATCGTTCGATCAATTGAGCGTTCGTTCGATTGCTTACCTTTTTATTTAATTATTTATCTATTTTTATATTTAGTTTATCTATTTATCTAAATTTTTACATTTATATATTTATTTGTTTATTTACATAACCTTTCCACACGAAATTTCTTTAAAGATTTGTCCATCTTATTACATGAATTAGGTCATTATCATGCATCATTTTTGGAGAAATTTGCGAAATATTTTTTTATCAAAACAGCGAAAAATAGCAGACCATTTTAAGACAGTTAAGATGACTGATCTTGAATATGCACTGAAATGGGAAGTTTTTTTCTATAAAAACTTTATTCATTTTGATCCTCTGGTATGAAAATTATCTTCACTCGTAAAATATCTATTTTCATACCACCGATGAAATAAAATCCTGACCTAAATTTCTTCTATAGATTTTTAGCTGCTGTTTCTAAAGCCTATCGGACAAAACGATCTCGTAAACAGGAAAATAATTTTCTTTTGTTTTGTAAAGATATTGTTCGTTTTCTATTTTAAAGCCGCAGCTAGGATTATACATAAACGCCCATTTACTTTCAAATAAAATGAAATAAATTACGCGTTACCAATTTTGAGAAACATTACTCGACATTGCTTATGAAAATATTTTATTAAAAATAAGATTCACAGAAAAAAGCAAAAGCCTATATGTGTGTGTGTGTGTTTATTTATCTATTTTCGCCGTAAGAAACAAAATTTAAGGTGAAGGTAAAACCTTGTTTTTCCACCACTTTATTAAGTGACATACTTGAAATATTTATAGGTATATAAGGAAGACTTCCTTGAAGCAAAAACAAAAAAAAATGTTCGTTAAAACTTTAGGACGCATTATACCCTGAATATGCATTTTTCAACAACTTTTTTTATTTATTTTTGCATCCTCTTACAGTTTTCAAATAGATACACGCTGGCCATTTATCTTAA